CTATAAAACAGATCGAAATAATTATTAATCGTTATCTTGATGAATTGCCTCGTTTATCTCTATATCATACTAATCGATCTCTTTTTAATTTTCATTTCGGATTTTCTAAAAACAATGAAATTGATCACTATTTATTTATTTATATAATCAGATGATGCTTCGTCGTATGATTTATTTATCAATAAAAGAAATGTCAACAGTTGCAAATGATGTTATTATTGTAACATCAAGTTTAACTCGTGATATGACTGAAAAAGAAGATTCTCATCGTGGACCAGCTATGCGAGCTTTATGTAAAATTACTGATGTATGTATATTTAAATATAATTCGAAACAAAAAAAAATATTTATTTAACTAAATAGGCATCAATGATGCAAAGTGTTGAACGATATATGAAACAAGCAATTGTTCTGAAGTAGTTAAACGATAGGTTAATGAAGTTCAATAAGCTGTTAATAATGATAATATAATGGTATACAATATCATGCACTTGGTCTTTTATATCAAATACGTCGAACGGATAAATATGCTATTAGAAAATTAATTGTCAAATTTTCTAAAGCTGGTTTTCGAAGTCCATATGCATATTGTTTTCTGGTTAATATATCAATTTTTTTAATAATTAATTCAATATTTGAATTTTATTTCTTTAGATTCGTATTGCAGCTAATCTTATAAATGAAGAAGGCGAAGGGTAAAGAGAGAACATATCAACAAAAGAAATAATTAAAATATTAATTTACTTTTAGAAGGGATAGTCCAATGTATGATTTTATTGATTCATGTTTACGTCATAAAAATGAAATGGTTATTTATGAAGCTGCATCAACAATTGTATCACTTAAATGTGTTACACCAAAAGAACTTAGTTCAGCTGTTAATGTTCTTCAATTATTTATTTCATCACCTAAACCTGTTTTACGTTATGCAACTGTTCGAACACTTAATAAAGTTTGTTTTATACATTTCACATAACAAAAATATAGAATTCTCTTGAAATTTAAAGGTTGCTATTCAATATCCAGCAGCTGTAACAGCTTGTAATGTTGATCTTGAAACATTAATTACTGATTCAAATCGATCAATTGCAATATTAGTTATAACAACTCTTCTTAAAGTATTTTTATATTAATTAAATAATTTAAATTGTTTTTCTTTTTTGTAGACGGGTAATGAAGCAGGTGTTGATTGATTAATGAAACAAATCTCATCATTTTTATCTGAAATATCGGATCAATTTAAAACAGTTGTTGTTGATGTAATTAACTAAGAGATAATCACAAAAAAAAAAATTTTTTTTCTTATCATTAAATTGAATATTTCAAAGATCATTATGTCAAAAATTTCCACGTAAACATACTGTATTAATGACATTTCTTTCAAATATGTTACATGAAGAAGGTGATTATGAATATAAAAAGGCAATTGTTAATACAATTATTTCAATTGTTGAAGAAAATCCTGAAGCAAAAGAAGCAGGTAAAAACTAAATAATCGAATTTTAATTTTTTTTGTATATGGATTCTATTTAAAAAGTTTGCCTCATTTATGTGAATTTATCGAAGATTGTGAACATACATCATTAGCTACTCGTATTCTTCATTTATTGGGTCGTGAAGGACCTCGTACAACAACACCAGCCAAATATATTCGTTATATTTATAATCGTGTTATTCTTGAAAATGCACCTGTTCGAGCTGGTAACATTTTTCTTTTTTTTTTTGTATTTATTTATTTCTAATTAATTAATGTTGTAGCTGCTGTAAGTGCATTAGCTAAATTTGGTGCAGCTTCAGAAGATTTATTACCAAATATTTTGGTACTTTTACAACGAACAACACTCGATCAAGATGATGAAGTTCGTGATCGTGCTATAAAGCACTTAATTCAGCTTATATTCTCAATTGTAAGTATAACAAATTAAATTAAATTAAATATTTTAATATAGCAATGAATGTATCATTATCATCACTGGAACGTCTTTTACATCGTTATACAATTGAACCAACAACAAAACCATTTGATGTTCGATCTGTACCTGTTGAAGCAGTTCCGGTTGCACAACCTAAAGGTTTGATATTCAAATTTGATTTTATTATTTAAATAAAATTGTTTTTTTTTTATAATAGATATTAGTATTGGTGTTGGTCTTCCACGTCCGGAAATTGAATCGAAAACAAATCGAGAAGATACTTATGATGGTAAGTTTCAAAAAAAAATAATTTCTTTCGTCAAATTCATTTTTCTATTTCTTAGAACAATTATCTGCTATACCAGAATTTGCTCATTTGGGTCCAATATTCAAATCATCATTACCAGTTGATTTAACTGAAAGTGAAGTTGAATATGTTGTACGATGTA